CATGTATCACCGTCGACATTTCTGTCCATATCCATCCAGACATTTTGGCAGACTGAGCGTCGCGTCCTGAGTGGCAGCCGACTATGAGGGAGAGCATTTCTAGTGCAGTCAGCTTTCCTTCTTGTCTACAGCTGCAATTAGCTTACAAAGTGTTCACATAGCTGTTGCAAATTCTATTCCAAAAAAACTATTGTTAATTTTATTGTGCAACGGACTGCAGCCAAAAAGCTTAACGGATTTCCATATGTTTCTCCATGTTGAATTTGTTGACAGCAAAAACATGCCGACATTGACACGGCAGTTAAAAGCCATTGCAATACAACAAGAGGTCCGAGGCATACATAGGTCACGTGACTCTTAGCCATAACCAAAGGTTACAAGGCTGCATTATTTGCTTCACTTGGCTTCATCAATCAGAACGTAAGATAAGGCATTTGACCTGTCGACAGTTACTTATTTACATGCCATGAGAGTGACAGGAGGAGCCACCGCTGCAGATGAATCATCAACAACCAGTATAAAACGTTAGAGCGTCTCTAGCAGACCCCTTAAACCATGAAATTGAAAACACGGTTTTTGGAAAACATGTTTTAAGGATCGGTTTAAGCTACGGCCGAACAGACCCCTCAAACTTAAACTATAAAACCGAATATTCGCTTACATTTTTCCCCACGTCGCCACGGTCAGCTAGCTCGCTCCTACGAAGCCAGCGGACGGCGCACGAAGCAGCCAAATACGGAGCCGCCGGCACCCAAAACGGCGTCGAATCGATCCAGGAGTAGTCGCCGTAGCTACTTCAGGAGTAAGCTAGCTAGTTCCCGTCGAATCGATCCAGGAGCTAGCTTCCGTCGCCGTAGCTAGCCGGGACGGGCGGCAGCCGGGGAGGGGTCATGGAGATGTTTCCGTGGCAGTTGGGCTCCTGCCAACTGCGTTCTTCCAATAAAAGGCACTATAGAAGCGGATGTGGAAACTGTGTTTTTGCAGATCGAGAGGAGCTTTTTACCGCACCGCATGGTGTATAATATGTCTGTTTCAGTGGGATATAACGAGTCTTCTAGAGATGCTCTAAGCAGGGATAAGTTAGTACAAAATTGAGTCCCTTTTACCGCACCCCTTAAAGATTTAAAGATCGAAGGTGTATAATATGTCTGTTTTGGCGGGATATAAAGAGTCTGCTAGAGATGGTTAGTATAAAGTTGAGTCCTTTAGCCCTCCACTATGTGATCGGTGCTAAAATTCTGAAAAGTATCCCACGTACATATTCATGCCAAATGAGAGAAATTTAGCACCCCTCATACAGCGTAGAGGATTTGGCATTGACTCCAGCTTGACCCCACATACGTATAAAGTAGTAATAGATCAGCCCAAGCCTGTGTCTCCGGTTGTTGCTTCGCTTGAGAAAGTACAGTGTGACGAGCTTAGTTTATTGCCTCCGGGCATGGCCAATGGTTAGCCTCAGAGGTGATGCCCTGCAAGCCAGCTAGGCTCGAATGCCAGCGCGGCACTAAAGCGATAGCTTGCAGGGCACAACGGGATCTTGCAGAGGAGGCGGCTTCTTCAAACCAAAAGCAAGAAAAGGTAAGAGAATGGGGAAAGGAGAAAGCTCCCAGACAGGCCAAACGTAGAAGTATGAGCTCTAGGTCGCGACCACGGGGTGAGCGAGGTTTACCTCGATGCCATAGTCGCCAACTTGAGCACGGTGGCGCAGCCAGGGCGGAAGGTGCGAGCTCGGGGTCGCCATGGCCGGCACCGCGAGATGGATAAATGAGTCAAGCCCGGCGGCGCGGGCTCAGGATCGCGGCTGATGCTGGTCTCATAGCATCTGATTTGGTGAGATTTTTTAAGGAGGATTTTCATTGATTTGGGTAGGATTGGCAAGATTGGAAGAAAAAGATGCGCATACAGATGAGAACAGATAGGAGTTGAGAAGGGATGGTTTGAAGAGAGAGAGAGAGAGAGAGAGGCCTAAGGAAGTAGTGGCCTCACGATATTGCATTGAGGGATTACAAATCAGACCTAATGCCTCAATTCCCCCATTGTACATGCCCTCAAGGAATGTGGCACCGGAAAATAAAGGCATAGAGACATCGATGCCCTGGCAACGTAGGGCACTGGTGCCAAATATGTAAAAGGTGAATTTGGCACTGCTTTTGGCCTACATGGTGTAAGGCCTTAGTCAGTTAGTACAAAGTTGAGTCTCTCCCTTGTTTTGGGAGGGAGGGAGTATTTTCATTTGTAATAAGTACAGTTTGGACCACAATGCCATTGGACTAGTACAGAGGTGTTCGTACACCTTGGCTCCCGCTCGTATTTCATTGTTGTCGATACATAGTTTTATTTGAATTGGCCAATTTTATTCAAAACAAAAATGCTTAACGACTTAAAGAATTTCCAACAAATTTATTGTGTTGCCATCAAAATATGAGAGAATTCCTTATTTGGTCCTTTCTTAAAATCTGGTTTTCTATTTGGCCCTAGAAATTTCATTTTTCCCTTTTTGACATCATAAATTCATTTTATTCACTTCTGTCACTTTTTGCTGTTAACACCATCAAATGAGACTTGAAATGTCTTATTTACCACTGCTTTACCACATTGGAAAAAAAACAGAAAAATCTAGTTGTGACGTGAGGCATGAAGGAGGGCGCGGCAAGTAGTGATGGACGGTCGAGACGGCGCTGTGCAGGCCCAAGTCGCGGCACCAGATGTCACGCCCCGAGACCCTCCAGTTGTTGCCCCTCTCACTAGTGCAAAGGCCAAACAAACCTGTGGCCACCATACAAAGTCTCCACGTGGCCATTTGAATGTCCTAAGTATTTCTAGAGTGTTGCCAGCACATGCATGTACATCCCATAAATATCAGGCCACATAGCTAGCTAGCTACTTCATAATTAATTTGTACTTGTACTTACTTTGTACTACTGCTGAGTCAGACCGACATGAGCCAGAGGAAAAACTCCACATCTATTCTTCTGTTCTCACAAGTTCTTTCTATATTGGCATGCGTACTGCTTAGCTTCGGAGAATTTCCTCCACTCGTGTACAACTTCCCATTATCCATGCACTAATCTTGGTGTAGCATATATTATTTGCTTAATTATTTATTTAAACAAATAATACAAATTTAATTATCTAACTAAACTCAACAACTTAAAATAAATATCCTTAAACATCAGGGTTATTACACCGAAGGTCCGTTGGTGACAGGGGCGTGCTAGCTGGGTCGCCGTGGCTGCCTGCTTTCCATGGTCTAGTGTATGCTCTTTGTGTGTGTGTGATGTGATGTGTGTGTTGTGTGCAAATAGAGAAATTGAGAGATGGATCCCTACTATACGATGTGCGTGAAGAGAGAAACCGTGAGATTGCTGTGCATGTCCGTACTGCTCGTACATGTTAATTAGTGCACTGGTTCTTATTAATATGGTTTCTCAGAACAGTCTTGTAATATAATTTCGTTGCAAATCCAAGGCACTGATGCATTCTGCCCACGCGCCCACGTCGCCATTGCTTTTGACTTCCAGCTTATAATTTTGGTCACAAAATACATCAGGGGTAAAATGGACTTTTCATGTTGCATTTAACGGTGTTAGTTGTCAAAACTGACAAAAATGTTATAAAGGGAACAAAATAAAGCGTGAGTGTCAAAACAGGAAGAAATTGTTTACCAGGGCCAAAAAGGGAACCAAATTTTAAGATAGAGCCAAATAAGGAATTCTCTCTCAAAATATATTCAAATATATTCATCAAGAGAATCTCATATTGATTACATACACGTAAGTCAACATATGTACAGATAACGAGCAGGTTACACAAGCACGTAATGCAATGAGAAAGCTACTGTTAAATCCTATCTAATTTAATTATTTCTTCCATTCCATGGAAGAGAGAATGGAATCTCTGACATTCCATGAACACGACAAATGGAAGACACGGCTCAAACATACAAGTTACAAGTTAGCGACATGGCAGATGCTAGGATCTTGGGCACATCATCTTCTTCGCTCACTCAGCTCCGTCAAGAATGGATCACCAAATTTTAAGGTAGGGCCAAATAAGGAATTCTCTTTCAAAATATATTCATCGAGAGAATCTCATCTTGATTACATACACATAAGTCAACATATGTACAGATAACGAGCAGGTTACACAAGCACGTAATGCAATGAGAAAGCTACTGTTAAATCCTATCTAATTTAATTATTTCTTCCATTCCATGGAAGAGAGAATGGAATCTCTGACATTCCATGAAC